CGGCAAAAGAATATATTCGCGGACTGCGCCCGCGCTGCGATAATTAACAAGGAGAACTCAAGATTACAGTGAAAGCAAACATTTAGTTTTGAAGAATGTTAAAACAACACACGAGAAACGCCGGAGCAATTAACGCTGGGAAAATTTGAAAGGGCGTTGATGGCGCTGCGAGGGGGGGATACCGGCGGAGGGGCGGGGGAGTGCGCGCGCACGTCACCATCACCCTTTCAGAAATATGAATTACGCAGACCTTGCTAATTTTTTTTTCGCAATATTAATTATCCCGTTTTCACTTGTACCTACAACGAGAAGAGCTCGTCCTGTACAACAGAAAGATCATTAATACAAGACTCCGTCTGTAAAGCCGCGCTCCGCTGCCGAGCCTCCTAACCACGTCGGGACTCCATTGTGTCCGAAGCTCCGAGGAGCAAGAAAACTGATTTCAGAGCTTTTTGTTAGGTGCAACGTTCTCGATAAACGCTTGTCGCTTCCAAGTAATAAACAATGGTCGAACCTAATAGAAGATATCCGTACAGCTAGCAGAAATTCTGAAGCTTCCATTTTCAAGAGTTTCCCGTACAGGAAGCGTCTTCCGTAGAAGCCTTGGTGTTATCCTTTTGCAACGGCAAAGCAACGCAGGAGCTTTATCGCATGAGGAATATTAAAATTTACAAATTGATCTTCATTGGGCTGATCGACTTGTTATATGAAAAAAAAAAATGAAAAAATAAAAAATCACATATATCTAAATCTATTAATTATCACCGTATATCGCGTATAATCCGCAACGTCGAAAGGGTCTACGTAGACGGTATAAAAAAAAAAGGCAGTTCGTTATAAAATTTTCGTTATTGTTTCGTTAATGGTTATTGATGCGTTCCTCGATATGAATCGTGGTCCGTTTTATAACGGCGCTTTGTGCGCCACCCCGCGATATAAAATAATAATAATTAATATAAATGGATGTCAAACGGCGTGTTGGTGCATAGCTTGCCGCTAGCGTGGCCGCGACCTCTTCGCGTGCGGCACGCACGCAATTCCGCGTTTTTCCGGGAAACATTACCATGACAGCGTTTTGCGTCCACGATGCAGTTACGTGTGCGAGAGTGTTGGATTACTTGTGGACACCCTATCCGCTCGTGGAACTTATCCAGAAAGTATAACACATGCGATTCCCTGGGCAGAACGGCAGCGTCGACATCCCGCCAGTTAAGTTCCACGACCCTTTCCATCTGACTTTTCCCTTTTATTCCCTATGTAAAGAAAGCAGAAAGAAACTATAACGACGAGCCACCGAAGAATTCCCTAGCGAACGGAGCATCGAGATGCCAAAAGTAAGATAAGTCTCATCGGTAATTATTAGCGACCACGAGGGAGAAGCCTCTTCTTGGAAAATGATGAAGAAATAAAAAAAAAAGAACTAGAAGCATCTACTCGATTGGCCAGCCTGATCGGTGGAAGGCATCGAAGTAAAAGTAACGGCGTTGAGGCGTTGATTGCGACACCGATAATAGTTAAACTTTAGCGAAGTGGCAACGTCGCGAATACCCGGATAAGGAAAAACGAGTGTAGCAGAAGTGAAAAAGACGGTGGAAAAAAGTCGAGGAAACCCAAGTGCCAATATCTTCGTAGATTTGTGGGTGCCAAGGAGCCCCGAACGTACGTTACTGCCATGCTCTAGCTTTAGATATCACGACCAACTTTCTATCGGGTAAACTGCAGGTAATAAATAAAAAAAGTTCGGGTTTTATATCTGCGATAATTTTTTTTACCGTGTATATATATACACCATGAAAGGCATGTGCTATATCGAATTAAGGGCATATTCACCATATACGTAATAATCCTTTCACGCTTTATCCCTATACCCACTTTACTCCTATGTCCCTCATAGCTTTCGAGTATTTCGTTGCTGCAGTACCACGCGGCATCCATTTTTAATTCTTCTGAAGCGGCCTCTCGTCTCTGCACGAGAGGGCTCGACTTTTGACTGTCTGGAAAGTTCGAGCGATCACTGCCTCTCGTTTGCTGTTTTAGGAAATTGCAATCGGATGTACCTCTCCCGAGTACCACCCGAAGGATTAGGCTGGGGTTAAGGGGACCTCGAGAGAGCCTTGACTCGTCCATGTATGATGATAATGGAATAATAAGAGAGAAAATATTTATTCTGAGATTTATTACAAACTATCCAAACAGATGGATACTGGAGGCTGATCAGACTTAAGGGATGCATCCCGTGACCATTGCTGGTGGATACAGGCTAGGCAGCAGTAGCGGTTGCTCCTAACTATACGCGAGGCATCCATTAACTACGCTTGTAATCCCTTCAGTTAAGTTAGCACATGGTGCGGCACCAGGTCCATCGTCCCAACAGGCACCCCTATTCGACGTCTCCCTTACACATACGTGGAGAATGACCTACCCCTAAACAAGGAGCGTCCTCATATAGCTCTCTATGTACGACAGCCTAAAGCATCCCTCTCTGCACTATCGCTATACTCGCCCCCCCGTAGCTACAGTATACGTATAACGATGTGCTTAGTTACCCTACTGGGAAAACAAAACTAGTAACGTGACCAATGGCGGTATTTAGCTTTGAATAATGAACAGGGGAGATCTGCCTTTTTTTATGTTGCGGTCAAGACGCGACCTTTCTCCCCGCTGGCGAAAACTTAAATGGAAAAAGTTTTGGCAAATTTCATTCGCGACCACGTTACTTTAGAAACTGTCGTCCTATTACTTAGCCTCGATAAACTCACGGAAATTAGGTTTTCGGCTACGGCCGAACCGGCCCGATTTAAACTATCCCAGAGTGTACAGAGAACGGCTGGTGGAAGCACGTTGGCTGGTTGACTCTCTGCAGTATAAACTATCCTAAGGCTGTCCGATATCAATCCAGGTTGATTTTACTACGCTGAAATCGTAGCATGGCGACCCGTAGACAAGCACGGAATTAGTCCTGGGCAGAGCAAGTTCCACGAGGACTGTCCTCTCTAGGATGGAACTTGTATCTCGTAGAGTCCAAGGGACTTCGTTGTCCAGAGTAAACAGATGAAAGGGGTTGACTTTACTTTGGATTAATGCACGATGGCTGCCATTGCCCGAGTCACGTTCCATTCGGCAAAGTGGTCGCGTGTATGTCTTAAGGTTAAAGGAGGTAGACGCGATCGAGGACGAGGGTGAATTCATCCGACTGGAAAGGCAGGGGACGAAGTGCGAAATCATTATCGAGCCTTGCCGAACTTTCGTTCCACGTAACTTTTCAGGACTTAGTGTCCTTGTCGGGGATGTCCTTGCCGTGGTGTGGGATTTACCTCAGAATACGAAAAAAGTGGCATGGAAAAAGAAAGACGCGACGCAAGGGCTGCTTTGAAGGATTCACGTGATGGAAAACGTCGGCAAGACGCACGGTGAGTTTGCGACGGGGAAAGCGTTTTTGTGGATTTCAATTTTGTTGATTTAACGGTTGTTATGGAAACCGAAAAAAAGGTCGAGTATCAATTCCGTCGTATGTGCCGTTTTTTATGTAATCCTTATAGTGACTCAAGCAAATACGTCGAGTGGAGTATTTCTAGGATTACATAATTCCTTTCTCAATTTCATCCTTCGGTTAGCCGTCATTTTAAAACATAAATCTTATGAGCATTCTGAATCTGCTGATGGAAAGCAATTACGTCATAAAGCATTTATCCGCAGAATCCGATTCGCCGTTATTAGGTATACGTCTAATTTTCTTCGCATTACGTCTAATTTGCCGGTTGATGTTCCCCAATACTCGTTCTCTTTCGTGCATATTGATCCTCGTATTATAGGATAATTAAGTGTTTGATATACACGCGAGCCGGTGTACCTAAGTACATACCCAACCAGGTATGTTTCTATCGAGGTACGAATCGACCGAGTTAGATCAACCAGGTACGTCCTGAACAAAACAAATGTGTATTAGCATACAGTAAAAATGTTACTCGCCCTTATCGAAATTTGTGCTTTCCAGTAATCCCACGAGGTTTATGGAAGCTTCCTGGAGGGCTTGTGAATTACTCGCGCGGTTATAATCACAATGAAACATATCTGCCGGTGAAAAAATATAAAAAGAACGTTACAGACCAATCCAGCAGGCAATGTCAGTCTGGTAGTCGCGACGGCTCTAACCTTATTTAATAAATGTCATAGGAGCGAACTCAAACTTCTTAAAAATAAGTTGAATTTTCTCATCTGCTAAACCAAAATCCTCTTAGGTTCTTCCACTTCTTCTGTCCTTCGCAGTAAAACTTCACAGTGTCTTAACCCGCCGTCGCTCGCACCACGCCATTTCCCTCGCGTGACACGATTCAACGTCTAATACGACGCAGCACTGAGAGTGAGACACTAGAAATGACGCGAACGATACCGTGTCAACAACGAAGGCGCTCGGCGTGGCTCGGCCGGTAACAAGCCGGCACGTTTAATTGAAAACGAGACACGAGGTCGGCGCTCTTACATTTCCCTTTATTCGTCCACCTCCGTTCTATGGAAAACAGTAGGCAGTGCACGAATGCACAAGCGCACGAACAATCTGTCGCACGAGACCAAATGAAGACTAATAGAAGAGAATAAGAGTAATAGGTAAGAACATGGCCATTACCTGGCTAGAATGTATTGCTAATTGCTGAGTACTGAAGGTAACGTGAAACAAAAGGTTACGAAGAGTAACGAAAGATCGTACATACCGAGAAAGATATCCTATCGTAAGGCAATGATGTATAAAACTTCACTAAGTAGTACCAAAGTGAACCACCAGAGGGTAGGAGACACAAATATTTACATTGGAAGGTCAAGATGTGAAGAAAAAGTACGTAAAACGTCGCACAAGTATTAAGTATAAGGATGATGAAGTCCTCTGTGTGGGGGATGTCCGGATGCCAGTGGCCACAAAATACGAAAGGGGGACGATCAGAAGATGAGGCCGATGGAGGTGGCGTCGGCGGGGCTAGTTCCCCACGCTTCACTGCGCATGCAGCGCTCGAGCCGTCGAGTCGAGCGTCGCTCGTAGTGCTCCGCGCGCTCCGGTTCTCGCTCTGGCTCCCCGAGAGTCCGACCTGGCTGTGAGTCCTGAACGCAGTTTAAAATCGATGCTTCTCGCAGGTTGGAGTCAGTCTGCGAGAGGCTTCCGCGCGTGCAACATCCCCGAGCCGCGGCACGAGTTACACGGATGTCTCTTGGAAACGCGGCCAAATGACAGGGTCGCCAACTACTCAAAAGAACAATGAAATACGCGATCCGAGAGAGACGCCAATATCGCGGGCTACACACGTCACAAACGACTTACAACTTGTTCTCGTAGAATCCACGCGTTCAGGGGTACGTCGGATTCAAACGGAGGATACGACGACCCAACGACCCGACGACCCCCCTATTCCTCTCCGTCATCCTCCTGATCCCGAATACGGCATCCGCAAACTTTGCGCGTAACGAGGCGACGGCCTGATAAAAGTTTCGCACCTTTCTGGAAGAGGTGCGCGGGTCCAAGAGGAAGAAACACAGGGAGGGCCAACAAAAAGATAAAAGACAAAAGATACAGGCGGAAAAAGAAAAAGAGAGACAGAGGGAGAGAGTGAAAGAGGGAGAATTTCTTGCTTCCCTGCCTGGCTGCCTGCCGACGCTTGGTGAGTATTTATGCATTCGATTATCCGAACGCCTCGGCAACTTGACGAGGGTATCTTCCTTCGGGTTTCCTGCCCCGAGTTTCGAGTAGATACCACGCGAATCTCCTTCAGGAGTCTTGGTCCCGTCGAGTCCCTTTTCATTGCTGCGCACTTATGTGGCTGTGGGCCTCTCTCCCAGTGCTATATTCTATATATATTATTTTGCAACCATTCGCAAATATTATCAATTTATCACCTACCCCCATCCATATTATTGTTTATGAGTGCTTGGCATTTTTTTTGTATATGTTTCCTAATACTTAATACACACTGAAATCTTTAGATCTTGTTTTGTGCTTTTTTTTCATTTGCGCGTAATTAACTTTATTTTATCCGACTTGATATACCTAGTCTGTCGCAACTATTTTTACTGTACATACTGTACTATCTGTATATCGAAGGTACGATCGTGCTACGCTAAAAGGTTTGACTGTATTGCCAACGTTATGGGGTCTCATGAATTTTTTTCTGTCACGCTACTTTAATCCACTATCGTTATGTCGACTATCGACTGCATTTTTTTTTCTTTCGTGACTTATTGGATTTTTATTATACGCGTGCGTATTGTGTGAATCCGAACTGAAAATTCGTTGCGTTACCTCCGACGTTGACACGTTCCTGCACTTGGGACGACGGTATACGAAATTCCATTGTGAAATTTCAACTATGACGCTGAATAAAATCCTTTGTTCGATCCAATGAACCCTTTCACGTGCTTTCGATAATTAGCTTCAGCTTTTTCACGTTACACGTGCACTCTACTCCAGCTTATCGGCCAATATCTATACAGGCATCTAAACTATAACCAATATTTACAACTGGTTAATGTATGTAAGAGAGCTGCATACACATTTAATGTTAATTCTGTTTTCCCCGGAGGAAACTTTGTTAATTAATTGCTAGAGAAATATATATATCTAGATACCTGTCATATAGCTAATCGGCGGGAAATTCAACGAGACGCAATCACTTGACGTGTTTTCCATCGTATCGTCGTAAAACTGTAAAAATATTAATTTTACTCAACCATCGCCTATTACACGAGCAACTACACGTAGGAGGGAAATATAAGATAATATGTCCGTTAGCTCAAATTACGAGTAACGAAATATTTCACATTCGTAATAATTTATACAAAAAGTCGAAAATACGAAAATGAAATTCTCCAACGTCGTTAAAACATTTAACATTATTTTTCGAATGAAGTACTGGAGTGTATAACGATGTATGTTTCTATATATATATATACAAATACATATAGTATGCATATCACAGTATGGAATCATAACGAAACAGACCAGAATTTCATTTCAGTGACGACATAATTAACCCAACGAAAAAATCTCATATTTTTTGAATTTTTCTATCTCCATAGGCGCATTCATGGTCGAATGCATTTTTGCAGATGTGCACCACATTTGCATACAACGGCATTCAGCCTTCGATTTAAAGACACCGCGTAACCTGGATATTCGCTCAGACGTTAAAAACGCAATTTATTAAAGAATATACATGTTTTCAACGTTGACGTGAAATAATTGCACTGTGTTTTACCCGACAGTGAATCTAACTGATGCCAGTCGTACAGAGGAGTACCCGTAGTACGTATAGTGATGGTGGATGGTGATGGCGGTTGCGGTAGCCTGTGTAGCCAAGCGAAATCGAGCATACCTACGAGTGCTGGTCGAGAGAACGCCTCCATCGTGAAAACTTTTGGAATTAAATATTTTAACGACGCATTCACACCGCCCGTTAAGCTTACGAGCGCGGCGATACCTTCAGGCAGTGAATTTTCCAACTGAAATAATACACCCGATAAAGCGTTAAAGTGGCCCAAGTGATTTTCGTGACCCACCACTGTTGCCCATATACCGGACGTAACCTATTAAACAGGTAAATAATTATTGATACATGGAAATTGTTACTTTGAAATGTCCAACGATATTCAAGTGAATTTTATACGATATAAAGTGACGCGGTTCAGTGAAGTGGATGGAGCGTCAATGAAAGAGTGTCGTATGAAAAAGGATTGAGGACAAAGGGTCGAGGGTTTGAAAGCATGAGCTTTCGGTAGGTTAGAGGGTGAAGGGTTTTGCTTGTAGGATGTAGAATGCAAAATACAGAATACTGAATGCAGAAGAGAAGACACGAGCAACAATCCGATACGTGCTTTCGGTTACGGTGATCCTTGCTTCACCCGTGTCGAAGTTCGGGAGTGCTTTGGAAGCCACAGAATTTACTTTAGTCGCGTAAACGTAAATTTAAAGCGGTTTACAGTGCTCTTAGTAAATACCATTTGATTTATCACAAAGTTTGGCGACAGAGTGCTAATGCGTAAATGAAAAATTTTTATCAATTTTTTTTACCTTTTTCTCATCCACTGGCTGGCACAACTTACTACACTGTTATTATACACGAAATATTATTCACGACTTTCCAAGCGCTTTTTCGCACCATTTAAGTGTCATCCAAATCGATAAGGATACGACGATCGTTATAAAAGAACGTGAAGTCATTAGCACGCTTCGGCAGTAAACATGAACTTTTGTCATTGTATTCCCAACACGTAATCGTCATTCGCCTTTAATTTTCCACGGTTTCTCCGACCAGCGTTAACCGATCCCATCTCACCGTGACTTTCATCCTGTTTCCCCATTGCCCTTGTGAATTCCTCCTTGTTCTATCCTTCCCTGGTATGTCTACTTAGAGACTAATTAAATAATCCCTATAATGACTAAGGGCCTACGTATATATTCATATGTTTTCCTTAACAAAGATCACTCAGCAGCCTCGTAGCTTCTCGAAAGTTCAAACTTCCAAGTCACGAGGTCACCTTAACTTCCCTCGCTGCCAGCCTCGCTAACTTCTACCTCGACCTCCTGCCTACTTCGTTACGCCTGCTGACGATATCTTGGGAGCAACTACTTAGCCAGTAGATTGAACACCGTGCACCAAATTGCTTTCGGGCAGGGATTATTTGCATCCTAACCATTTCCAGCGTGCCCTATAAGCATCGCCTAGGAAATGATACATACCCAGGGCGAAACGTTCTTTCCTGGATATATGGCACCTCGTCAGCGCCGTCTGGCCAGCGGCCAATGCCCCGAGTGCTTTAACTGACGGGAGATTCGAGGCAAAACTCCCTGGTGCTGCGCGTTCGAAATTTCGACTGGGCTTTTCTTCTTTTCTAGTAATCTTTTTTTTTAACTTTTATTTCTCCTCCATATTTTTCTCCTTGTTTCTATTCTAGTTTTCTCTTTTTTTTTTTTTTCATTCTCTTCTCCCTTCTTCTCCGCGACTGGTGCACGCTAGCCAACCGTTAAATCATTTCTCATAGAGAGGATTTCATGGCTGACGCTTCGCTTATTATCCACTAATGTCACAATCGTTGCGCAGATCTTTGAGAGATCATTCTTGTAGATATTCAATACGTATATGCATTACGTGTAGCCCTTGACGACCTACTCGCCTGAACTTTAGAGCAATAAATGCGCGTCATAAAGCTCGGTGAAAACTCCACGCTCGATTCGTTTTCATGACACAAATGTAATAGTCACGGTGTGGGAGATGCGATTACGTTAGAACAAAGGGGCACTGTATGACGTAGTACACAGAGTTGGTGCGTTTTTAAGTATCCCTATTCGTTATGCAGGACGACAGAGGGGAAACCTGTGTCGACGGTTCTTGTGAAAATTACCCATTCAGCATGTGAAAAAGGTCCGATGCGAAAGTTGCGTTAAATGTAATTTGGCGTTTCTACCCGTTGAGGTGAAACTAATGCGAGCCGCTGGGAAAAGTTCGTACTCCCCCCCTCACCTCCCCCGCTGGACACCCTACTTAAATATTTGTTTCTCAAACATCGGTCACGCCGAAAAAGTTTGACCTCTTTCGAAAAGCGAAACAAGACCTAGAGGTTTCAAAGGGTATATAGTCCGAGCTAAAACTTAATAGCATATATCTATATACTATAGCACAGTATAAAACCAGAGAGAAAAGACCTAAGGGGGTGTATAGATAGTCAGAGAGATTCCCGTTTCTCGATCTAAAGTTAAATAGCAACGATCCCTCGTGCGATACTGCCCGTTCCATTTTCAAGATCCACACCGGAAGTCTCAGCGATGAAAGATCTCTTACCCCGAGAATGCTGGAGGGTTGCACGCTTCGTTCCATTCCACGGAATCTATGGTTGGCGGGGGGGGGGAGGGGGGTAGTTTGACGAAATTCCCTAGACATCTCGAAGGCATCCAAACAGCTTCTTAGAAAGTAGTGCTGCTGGTTAAAGGGCATTCGATTGCTCTTATACGATCACGTGATTTTCTCACACGGAAAATTGTGGGGGTGGTAATATTTCCACGGCGGACCCGTCTCGAAGTTAATTTCGCGAGCAGAAGAGGCAGAGAAAAGAAAGAAGAGAAAAAGGAATGAGGCAGCAGGTCGAGAAGGGAGTAGGAATATGGGTGGGGAGGGGAGGGAAAGAATGGAAAAAGGTTAAAAACGCGTGCAAAGTAAATAGGGATATATTAGCGGGGTCGGTGGTTGGTACTTTAGAGGGGGTACAGGTCGTGACATTGACGGATGGAGCAGAGAAAGGCATCCCCCATTATGCTACATAATTTACTGCGCCTGGCTCCTACCACGGCAGAGAGCACGGCTGCTCCGTGGAGTTAACCGCCGAGACCGAGGGACGCTTTGATCGCGTCTCCCACTCTCTCTCCCAGCCTCTCCTCGCACCCCGTGAACAATCTCAACGTTTGTATTGCCATGGAAAGTAGGTTATTCCAAAAATTTTACTCCCCGGTTGTTTCTCTCTTTCCGGCGCACGGCCAAAATCAAATTTCCTTTTATTCCCCGAACGTCAACGGCGTCTCTCTCTCTCTCTCTCTCTCTCTCCCATGCTCTCATCCTTTCCTTCATGGCTTCATGCCTTTCGAATCTACATAGGCGCCACTTTGCGCTTCGCTCGTTACGGTCCGAGTCTAGCCGCGTGACGTAGGAAGGGCTGAGGATAAAGCTTTTTTCGACCGCAGACGCCAGACTTTCGCGCGGACGATTCGTAATGGCCCAAATGCGAGATATGGCGCTCTGTTTCATGGCGTGACCACGTCCAGTATAAACGGCCGAAATATTTGGAGCGCGGGACCGCCTTGAAGCCTGCAGCGGTACCGAAGTAACGAGGGACTTGGCTTGGAGCTTGTACGATTAAAATCTACCCAGCAGTTTCTACCTGTAGTAGATAGACCAGCGCTTGAAAACTTTACCTTCTGCATTATTATTATACGTGTATATATATATATTATAGTAATATTTATTTTCTTCGCTAGTCTCACTCTTTTCTATACCTATTTCTATTCTCTGTGAGTTATATGTCTGTACTGTTTTTTTAGGTCTCGCTTTAGAATATACCTATCCGTCTTTTAAGAATTAGACGCTTTTTCTCACCAACGTCCAGCGGGACGTCTATACGGTTCATCGTGCGGGATATTACAAATGGAACTTCGCTTCCTCTACGTAAATATCCCTTATGCGCGCCCTTGGCGGAAATTGATAGCTTATACGGCAGCGCAGCGGTCGCAGCTGCGGACTCGCACCCCAGGATACAAGAACTTTCGTATCGTACGTACCTCCGTTTCTATATCAAATAATACGCAGCTCCACGCTTATTTCATCATTTTACACGCAATTCACGCTCATAGCCCTACGTGCGGCAGCCTTACGTGATGCGAAAATTCACTGTGAATATGATGAAGTAAAGCCGCGCATACCGAGACTCGGAAAAATCTTGTTGGGAGAGAATAGACTGGTGTTCTCGTATAGGAATATAAATAATTCTGAATGTAAAAACGTACCTTGTTGTCTGCTTGATTATTTGATAAAATATGAAAAGACGGCTGTGAATTTTATACGAATAAGAAAAATTGTTATTCACGAAATTATTTACGCCGTAATAATAATTCAATGGCTGCCTGATGCCATTGGATTTACTGTGGCTTAAACAAGTAGTACACTGTACCAGACAGTGGATTAGGGTTGAAAAAAAATATTGTGCACTTAAAGCGCCAGGGTGGTGCCTTTCATTTAAAAGAAGCTTCTTTTCAAAGCTGAGGGGAATCTTTGGCAAAGTGGCTTAACCGGTCATCGAGTACCATCCTGACGTCTGGTGATTAATTACGAAAAGTTCCCTAGGGTTTTTTTTTTATTTTTTACCTAATACGCTTCCCATAGAGCGTTTATGTGTCACGCTCCGAAACCGTTTACGTTCCGCACAGTTTATGAGAATCAGATCTTGCAGCGAACCGTATCGCCGTCGATACTCGAATTTAACGAATTTTAGCGAATTTCATGCAATGCAATTTGCATATAAGATATACTGATACTTTCGTACGTATGCGCGGTTTAAGAATATATACCGAAACACAATAGCCCTGCTTATGTCGCTATACGGTTAGTATAATACACGAACGATAAGACAAAGTAGATAATAATAATAAACGGGAAAATATATAGGTAAGAGGTCGTATATATTTTTCACGCTATCCCAACGAGAAGGTCGTACCATGTGAAATTTCCTTCTTGGCGATGACGCGTGATTCTAGCTCAACGTCTTCGGCGACGTACGTGTGTACGTTAACTCAGCGAAAGTTCTTCCGCCGAGGCGGAGTAATGGCAAAGTCCTCGAGAAACCGCCAAGCCAGGGTGCGATATCGGTTTCTATCTTTCAGGTCTCCAAGTAGCCCCACTACTGGCTGCAATATTCGCAACGAGAACACGTCGTGTTTCATAGAAACTGGCTGGGCCCGTTATCTCAGGCGGGGCGAAAGAGGATGTGGAAGATGCGATGGTAGCAAAGAGGCTGAAGTGAGCCGAGCATAGCATAGGAAAAGCAAAGTGGTTTTCCGTACCATCAGACGCCAAAGTTCCCACCCTTATACGCTGAGATAACTTAAAACCGCAGGGTATGCGATAATAACGACCGATATGTCGAGCCTCGAAGCTAAAGAGCCTCCGTTTCTTCTATATGGGCGCTTTTGCTTCTGATACTTATGATTTTTTTTTTTTTTTTTTTTTCCTTTACAATCCTGGATCCTGCCTTCCACGAATCTTCCGAAACAAACTCATTCTCGAATGTCTTCCGCGCTGGGGACCATAAACCACTCGTGTGATTTACGCCGAAATCCACTCGCCTTTAGTGCCGGCACTCCTTATCATTACGTCCCCATTGTCACATCGAGACTTAACCGGCCGCTCCTACTTTTCGCCCTTATAGATATTCCATTGATTCCCACGCAAAGAATCAGAAAACCACCCGCGCCGTACGCGGTTCAACATTTTTGACAACCTTTGTTTCTCCTATTAGATTTTAATACTTTGACGTTACGCGCTATTTGTTTTTGCCTTGTCGTTCGAACGTATATTGATCTTTGGCAATTATCCTGTTTACCTCGTTCTGGGAGAAATAATATTTCGAGACGCATATGCTTTTTGTCCTATTAAAATAGACTCGAATTTCGCCTCGAACGGAATGGAGAATTTATTTTTAGGCTTCGCGGTGGAAAATCTCTTTTACGTCAAATCCAGTCCCTCGTTTTACCACGTAATATGTATATAAAGCAAACATCGATAACTGTACGTAATACGGGTTTATTTGTCTCCTAAATTTATTATGCTAGAGCGACGAACTTTCACTCTTTATATATAATTAAATGACTAAGGCCCGTGCCGTCGATGTTACCCCTATTGTAGGCAGAGTCTATACAGTCTATCAATTCACGTTTCCCTTTCGCGAAGCTGTACATAATTATTTACGAAAAGCGTAACGGAAACAAAGGGCAACATAATTCCAAAAACCAAATTGGATCCATTTATACATGAACCAGTTATATACTCCAGAAGGGTACGCACATGCGTATTTACGTATATACCTATATGTATACATTATGTATGCATACGTATACAACGCGTGCATAACTCGTCTACTTCATTAGTCATAAGGGCAAACGAGACAAGATCCACAGAAAATACCATTGAAATACAGTACACACTATCCTGGGATATATATACACATATATACAGTACCCAAGGTATTTCGGTTACCGGCAACGAGTAATTAATGCTGTATCAATGACGTCGGTTCTAAGCATGAAACACAATGCGCAAGTATGTATATGGGTATGGACCAAAAATTTTTCTGTGATCTATCATATGCGAAATATATTTGACACTCGGAAAACTAGGTAGCGACGATGTACTCAAACAGTGTCTATGTTAGGACAGTATTTGTATACAGTACCGTGAAAATATACCGGGTGTAAATACGTATAAATATGACTTTCATACGTATATATAATTATATATATAACAAGTATCGCGCGCGAAGTTATATTAATTTTATTCGGACTAACAGAGAATCACGTGTATAACGGACAATTATGACGTAATGACAACGCCAATCTTTCACGTAGACACTCCTCCAATTGGCACAAGATTGATTGAACTATTCGTACACTACGAATATAATACAAGGGATCGAGTATACCTATTGCGGTATATACATACATATACATAGATATAGTATATGGAAAAACAATGCTTGGCAGTTGACGCGTGTCTGAATGGGAATTGGGGGGGGGTTGGAAAATAACGCGGTAGGCCAGGGGTTGACAATGTTTTGTCCTGGGGTGCGTTTATCGGGTAACGATTATATAATGGCCATCGAACTGATATCGATACTTTTAATAATTGCAGCAAAACACAATTCAATCATCCGGTCCATCTGCCGTGCCATTGGAATTGGATTCTTGGTCCTAAGGGCTTTGAAAATTATTCCATTTATTTGGCTGAGAAAATTCTTCGATTCGATCCCTCTCTACATATACAGGGTTTGCAGTTTGTTCGCTCGCTTTTTTTCGAGCGCGAATATTGGAAGCCTGCTCGCTGATCCGGCGTTCCTCGTTGAATATGCCACACGGGGAGTATATAGACGGGATAGACAGGTGGTGGATTATGTACAGGGTAACAATAAAAAACGCGTGCTTCATTCTCACTCAGCGTTCATCCGTTAAATTCGATTGTTAATCTCCGCGGGTGAGATTCAATTATATTACGGGTATCTCGCAGCTTCCCTGCTTGAAATAAGAAATAGGTTTCAGTGGGGTTTATATTGTATACATATATATACATACACAGGATGATATAAGATATACATCTGATGCGATATCCCTGCCACCAAAGTATTTCCGGTTGGATAAAGGAATTTTTGAAAAAAAAAAAAAAAAAACAATAGATCTTTAATCGAGTATCGAATTAAAGGTATATATTCCGGGAAGATCGATAGGGTGCTCTTCCGAAACGATTTTCTGTCGCTTATACCTAATGCAAGCGGTACGTAATCCTGGAAGGATATTATACTAGATTAATTTTTGTAATTTCTTATTTTTGTTGCGGGTATATAAATATCTAAACAGCTCGTGATAACCGTGTGTATATATACTTTCGTATACTGCGTGTATCCAAGATCTTTATTTTCTGCCATGTATACTGCGATCGATAAAATACGTATATAATTGTACAAGGTATAGGCTGGATATTAGGATCTATGATATAAATATATAGGGCCACCAGGAACGTTCCTAAGAAAAAAAAAAAGTGATCCTCTTCCTTATCCCCGATTTCCGTAATAGATCTCCAGACCCTTTCACGTTCCCCCGAGATTCGCGATATTAGTGTATAGCCATGAAGATGTTTAGCGATCATCGAAGCATTCACGATTTCTCGAAATCGTCGAGCGGACGTGGGCTTTCCGCGTGCTCGTTAAACCTATTTCCGGCTGCAGTAAAAAAAGGAGAATTCCAAGAAGAATATAAGGAACGTAGGTTGAAAGTCGATGGTACGGAGGAGCGTGGGAAGGGAGAGGGGGGCGAAGGGAAAAGAAGTAAGAGGCAGACAAATGCGCGTGCGGTTCGGAAAGTAGGTAGTAGAGAGTGTTCGGTAGATCCTATAGTGCTGTAAGGGGTTGACGAAGGGCGCGAAGGAGGGAGGAAAAGACGAGAGGAGGGTAGCCCCTCGCTGTAGGGTGCAAGGTTGGGCTAATTGGGTGGGGACTCGATTACGACTCGGTATTCTACGTTTCTCTAGGCGACACACGTACCACTGGCTGACTGGCCACGGCGGCGTGTGCCAAGAAAAAGAAATAGCCCAGGTCCTCCATCTTGAGTTTAAACCGGTTAAATTTCTAGCGCGGTGTCGCCAACTGTGGATCAGGCTGAAACCACATTGGCCCGTAAGCTGGACACGCAGGGGATTTTAATTTCGCTAAAGCTCGCGAAAGTTAGTATACAGTTTAGATATATGAACCATATATACACTACATTGGATACCTTATACGCGATAGAAAAAAATATCAATAGAGAAATAATACAGAGGAGGAATTTTATGTGAAATATACAAACCGATACAAGAAATTGTAGCCGTTGAGAGCGCATCCCCCTTGCATATTCTGCAGAAAGCATTAAATTCATCCGGAAGATTAATTTACCTTTCCCAGCTGACTAATCGTAGTCGATCCCACTAGCTTGCCTGCTAGAAACGCGATAAATCATCTCGCATGGATTTAAGATTACTGTCATCTTTCGCAGCTTCCAGCCATATGCTACTCTGAAGTCACTCGGCTCCTCGTGGAACATGAAGACTGATCATCAGCCGATATCCGCAAGATTCTGTGCCCTGCTGACTCTGCTAGGGAGCATCGATTGCGTCATGACGCTGGACATACGTGAGTGCAATTTCGTACTGTGTCGTAATCACTCTTTACGATAATACTTAACACCTTGTATATTCCATATTTATTCATACCTCGTCTCCTGCGATACGTCCAATTTTAAGTTTCAGCATACGAGTAGCGAACTCTTGAAAATTCATTTCGCCAACGGACCTGACGCCCTTCCTCTTCTTTTTATACCGGCATTAGCGTACTGTTTAGTTTAATGGCTGCTTTACTGCTGCACGGCACGATGGGAAATAACCTCTACTGGAACGAGCTCGTAAAGACTCGCCAACGGCACATGCGATCCGATCCGATCAATCTTTGCATATATGTATATCAGTCAGTCAGTCATGAACACTGGTCTGGCTATTGACAATCTGCAAAGAGGTCTACCCATAGAGTTAATACAGATAGAGCAGACAAGCCATAGGCTGCTCTGCAAGTCGAAGTATCCGTTCGGTCATAATGAGAAAGAAAGAGATAGCTGAACCCCTTTAGCTATCTGTCTTTGCACCCTGATTTGCATCTATCTCTCTCTTCGCCGCTGTCGCGTTGAGAGCTGGCTTGTCTGCTCTATCTGTATTAGCTCTATGGGTCTATCACGATTTTCATGGTTGTCATAGCGATGTCATAGAGTGCGCGAATACTGCCGACTCGTTAATGGGTCATGGCTGGCTGAGTTGGCGTGTTTAATGTATATCATCGATGCAGAACCATCTGGACACCTATGTTATCCAATCTGCTCGTAACGATCGGTGAACTCGGAACGTCCACGCTCTGGCAGCGTTCATCCAGATCGGATCGTGGGTGCGAGGAAACGGGTAGATACGAACGTCGGTAGGTGGTACCAACCCACGGGAGAAGAAAATTGACTTCTTGACCAACGATAAATCTTGTGGATTATTGAAGTATGGTACCGTGTCGATTTCCGAGAAGATTCTTTTTAGAAACCCCATTGTTTTCTTACCCCTTTATATGGATGGGTTTTTCCTTCTTTTGTGATAAGGCGCGCGCGCAGAAACCTCAAGTCGTCGAATCTTTGCTCTTGGCTTTGAGGATCGTCGATATTTTTCATCCGGAGCAGGTGATCCAAGCTTTCTTTTTTATTTCACCTCGTCCACCCGGAAGATGAGGGTCTCATCAGTCTTACGTAATGACGCACTATTTCCTCCCTTCACCTCGGGGGATCAATTATTTTGAATCTAATACGACAGGATGAATTACTTGGGAAAGCTTTTTTGCTTTGCTACTGTGTCTCTGGGAATAGGGGTTACTATAAACTTCTGATTTTTCCTTATCTATACATATACTTCGCTATGATATGGATCGCACTGTTGGGATAATTATATTAAGTTTCTGAAATACGATTTTTTAAATTAAATCTCGTAAAGATAACCAACTAACCTTTCACCTCATTCGACTTTGGGCGTCCCAGTGACATTATCTTTCAGTCTATAAACTTTTTCGTCTAATTAGGTAACCATGAAGAATTATGGGAAGAACGATTAGACTGCATAAATTTCATGATTAAAATCCATCAGTTTTCGGAACATTTTCCACCGACAGAACGTACCATTGCGAACATCAAAAAAGAAAAGGGTACAATGCAGGAAGGATGAAGGTAAAAGAGGGTGGTCCAGGAGAGAAGCTCCTGTGTAGGTTGTAGGTACAGGAGACGTCTCGGATAAAGGGAGGAAACGCGGACGAAGGGTGATAAAGGGGTGAAAAGGGTATAAAAAGAGAAAAGGAGGAGCGCGGCAGCTTGAGCATAGGCTATTGTTGTAGTTTGCCCGGGCCAAGGGTCTGCTTGTAGCTTTCGTTCCCCTCGTTATGGTAAATGGTCTGTCCTCGAGGTGGGCAAACAGTTACACGGAGATAAGTGCAGGCGGCACACTCGACACCATCTCGAGACGCTTTAAGCACCGTTCTCTGTCGTATGTCCCCACGAGTGGCAGCCACTTGCCACTTGAGTTCACAGACCCACCATCTTGAATGTACTGTCGAAATACTACGTGTCTCAAGACTGGACATTTTCTTGACACTCCTACGTCAAATAATCATTTATTCTCGATATCCACAAGAGCGACGATAACAATTTTACGTATCTTTATTATTCTAATATTACATGTATATACGTCTATAGGATTTTCCCTGATCACAGGTTAGGCTCCGTCCAATCATTTCGATACCGATCTGATTCCGTCTAACCAAACCTTAACGAATGTTGCACCAGGTCTCTTCGACCGCAGCACGTTTGAAAGTACAATTCGATAACGCAAACTTGCACGTGGCTAGACGCTACATGCTGGAGGACTGAGATACCGAAAGTAAATGGAGAAACTGGCCAAATCCCATCACGTAGTATCCGACAGGATTGATACGTGTAAGGCTGGATACGCTCTCCTGCGAAAAGTTCCAAAAGCCAGACCGATACATTGAATAACGTTGGAAATTGAAAAGTGGGTCGAAATTTCAAGCAAGAGTATATACGTACACGTAGCTCGAATATCGCGTCGATAACAAATTAACCAAGTTCAATATTTGACTTGGTAATAATTTTCGTGTTACTTGCGTCGCCTCTGCTATTAGCAGTTGGCTTTACTTATTTCGCGAGAAAATATGACGGGAAACGCTGACGGTGACAGCCGTGAAATTGTTAATGCAGAATACAACCTCCGTTCCCACGGCCAGTCCTCGTCTATTGTTCTTCTCTTGTTCCGTCAGCGTAATCTTTAATTCTTACCTAGACAACGCCGGTTTTAGGTGGCGCGTGGGCCCATTGTGCGCCTGGAAATCTTTGTTCCTTTCCGAATGGAGAGGAAGTGGCGCAAACCTTCTTCGAGATAACCGTATTACTCGGGCATTGTCTTTGGTCAGCCAATTCGAAGTAATGAGACACAGTCAGTTGCGGAGAACAATCGGTTTCTGCTAGCTTCGGATGGTCTAGGCCGTCGCGACGCCTTCCTTACCTACTGCGGGTGCACTGCACTCCGAAGCAGTCACGTCAATCTCATTTCTTACGCTATGATAGCTACTACGTCATTCTCGAAGTTTGACTTTCTTTCCTGAAGCATTCGCTGGATACTTCTTTTTTCCTATGTACTTTGCCATCGTTTTTTAATTAAGTCCTTCAATTTTATGTCAGATTTAATTTTTTTTCATTCAACCGAATGATCTTTGTAAGCGGTACAAACGGTAGGACAGGTGTCTAATGAAAAGATGAGCAATTAACTCGGTAAATGGTTAGTTCAAAGTAACTGGATTCTTCAGCACGTGTGCATGTCTCGTACGGGAGGTATCGGTGACTATATAGGCATACTTTGCACATATGTGCCAGTCAATGCCTCGGCACGCTTTGGGAAAGAAGTCGGGAAACCTTAAGATTTACCGCAAGGAACCCTCGCAAAGGGGATTTTATACGATCCAAATTGACGGAGTTTTATGATGGTTTATATACAGCAAAGAGATTGGTCATCTATGGGGAAGTTTTCGAGGATTACTATTTGTGAAATTTCATTCAGCGACGCAATTTCCGGTTATATAAGTTTTATCTGTTATGGAAAATTCTAATGGCTCTCGTACAAGAAAAACAAATACTTCGTCCTTTCGAACTAAACCGATAGTAGAGTTCAGAGAATCGAATGAGAATTTCATTTCTTTTATTATCTCAAATATTTGCCATTTATTATTATGTAAATCATAAACTGTATTAAAATTACTTATTACTAGCTTTACCAATAAATTCTTTACAGCGACAATAAAATGATCCTGAATTTTATTGTCCGTCGAAGGCAGCGAACTTTTTCCCCGTTTATTATTCACGCTTATATTACGATAAAGGGTAACCCGTAATTTTCAGATGCACTCGTAATAAGTTTGCGGAGTTGAAAACACTTGGTATTCGAATCACCCGGTATATACGAGTCTTCGATTAGCTATCACGATTCACCGCTGTACTTTATTCAGCCGTCAGCCGTCTGCCAAGATCCAATTAATTAATTTCTATATTTAACGTCCGTCGAAACGAATAATACAGTCAATAATAATACGTTAATTAAAAGAAAAAGAATGGCACTGTCAAAAATCGTGGACTTCCGATCCCACCAAATATAATTCGTGTAAGCTAAATTCTCATAACATAGAGAATCTACTACAGGGTGCTTATTATCATAATAGAGGATAATTGAAAATTCAATTTACCAATAATTTATAACTCTCTATGTATATAACGTGGTAACTCAGGTACCTGGTTACATACAGGTGTACATTATATACTATACTGGAGTACGAAATAACAAGAACCGCAATAGCACAAATTCGATCGTCTAACGAGAGGTTTGGCTCGCGAATTCGAAAACGCTGTGGCAATGTCTCGGAAGCTCTGTCGTTAGTCTTAACTAGGGTTATCCATTACCGTTCCTATACGCAGCCGGATACGTATCGACGTTAAAGCTTATACAAGATATTTGCATGGCTGGGTATCTATTAGATTGTAAAATATAGTTAGACGGAAATGCGAAGCGGTTTAGATGACGTGTGATTATGTTCTTGTATGCACGTAGCTACGTATCCAGGATGACTCGTAAATGATAGGCTCAAATATATATATATATACACACTTAACTTAGACTCTAGATAAACTAAATAGTCACGTCTGTGCTATCCCAGTACCACGTAGTACCTGTCTACGTATCGAATAGCTGAATCCTTACGAAACCACAATCCGATATATCAAGTATAATATCTTGTGTCCAGATATACCCAAGGTAAAAGAATCTGAACAGTAGAAAAAAGAATAGGAATAAAATACAGTAGTGAGATTTCTTTTATGACGAGTGTAGGTAGGTAAGGTTAGGTTAGATGGGAATAAAAGGAAGATCCCCATATTTTTAAGGATTTAGCACTTTTCAAGAATGGAGAAACTTCAAGGAACTCTCGTCGATCAGTAATGTCATCTTGCGGCTTGGTAAGGATTTTACGTTACGCATCAACGGTCGCTTCGTACCAGAATCTTTGACCCTTGTGGGTAATATCGAGATGAATATACGAGACGGGTATCCCGTGCCGCCTTCTTCGTTCGCTCGGCCGGTAAAGAAATTCTTAGGTTTACCGTGAGAAAAGGCTGCGAGTGGGTAGCGAAGTAAGAAGCTACGAGGCAAAAATGACGAAATTGGGTTATACTTTAGCGCAGGTGGGTTCTTGAGTATCTAGCATTGTACCTAATAAAAAATACGTAAAAGGTATATTCAGTAACAGGTATGGGTTGGGATTAATGTATTTTCAGATGGTTTTACAAAAGGCTAATTTTCATTTTCAAATAGGGACCTGACCGATACCTTTTTTTTAAGCCATGGCATTTCACGTTGACGTTTTTGTAGTTTCTTTACTGTTTTTTTGTACTGCTATGACAAGGACTCTACCTATAGTCCTCACGATCCAAGCCGACCCGGAACCGACCCAACCCGTCCCGCACGTCCCAGTCTATCCGAGTTCAGTTTGGAGGATTATAGCTTCACCACCTGACGGCTCCCACCGCTTCGAGAGATTCTCCATTCCCGTATAGTGACTGGCTCTCTCGTTCACCCGGTACCTACCCACCACTCTCGCAAACACCCAAACAGCCCTATCTCTCCCTCTCTCTCTCTCTTATTTTAAATAATGCCTGCTGCCACTGAAAGCAAATCTCTGATCTAAACTCAAAAAAGCAAAAAGCCGAATGCGCCCTGGCTTTTCTATCTGCGTACCTTGTAGTCATAACAGAGTCGAACTAACCTGTTTGTCTGCTCTGCCTGGCCTGATATCGACCGGTGGATGCTCAATCGAGCAACCCAACGACTTTCCCTCGAAAAATACCGGATGAAGCGTCGTGACGTCCCCAGAGATTTACGTACTGCAACCAGCTCACTCTGCTTGCTTGCGTGTTCGATTACGTGCGTTCGATTGGCTGCGAGCAAATTTCGTGCTTCGCGGGACCTCCATCTGCAGAGAATATTCTCTCTGCAGCATCCGCGTCAAGACCCGCAGCTTTCGCGCTTGCCAATCGGCAAATTTGTCTGGCAAACTGAGCGAGCGGATCGTCAAATTCGAATTCACTCGGGTGTTCTATTTTGAGTCATACATATAATATATTTTCAATATGGAACATATTGAGCTACGCCGAATGGCTATATCTGATTACTTCCAAGTGCTTTTCATTACGACAATAATTGCAAATAATGCTATACGGGGGAATGACGAACTTCAAAAAAAAAAAAAAAAAAAAATCGGGGTTTCGATTAAATCTGGAAACTCAATACCACCGACAAACACACCCTGAAACACATTCACGTTAACCCATTCGCGGACTACGAATATCAGCGTTTGAGTAAAATCAATTGACAGGTATTTCCCATTCGTTCTTCTTTTTTTTTATTTTTTTTTTTTTTGAAAACTGTACAGCCCAATTGTCCAGGATAGCACGCTCGTGAATTCACCATCGTGGGAGTCAATCGTGCCGTCGAAACACCTCCTCCCTCTGTATAGACGATACGATTAATCACTCTTGCTGATAGTTTCGATTTCACGTGAAAAAGATGAGCTTCCTGGTCAATCAATAGATAAAATAACCCGTAGTAAGGGGTTAGCATAGATCCTCTGAATGATGATAAGAAAATGAGAATATTGACTGGTTCGATCATTCCCGCTGTTCTTAGACAAGAATTGATATCAAAATACATAATTACATGAAACCTGAAACGCCTATCGTCATTGTCTCTTTACCTCCCTATATTCGCGAGCTCTTACATCCAAATTTATGTCTTCCCGTTTGCCTTTCGCATTCACGTCGAAGCAACGTGTCTGCCAGTAGTCGAAAGTTTCTCGAGTAAAACATCAATAGCATCCGCCAATCTTTTGATATCGACCCTGTAGAGAAGTATTGTACTCCCACCATATATATAAAGTATAAGCAGTAGGTACCAACGTACATAAGGGAAACAATGATTACACCTGAAAGTTACGGTTAGAAAGTATCACGAACGGAGTTGAATTGCGTTGACAGAAATAGAAAAGTGATATAAGAAGGAAGGAAACGCCAGAGGGGAAAACAAAAGATGAACAAGCTTAAATATATATATATATACATACATACATATAACACAAAAATTACATCCGGGCAACCAGTTAAGATGAAGTCAGAAATAGTAATGTTCCAGGATAGGAGCTTCCACTGTGTCGTATTTGTCTTCCCACGTTTATCACACTTACGCGTCAACCGGCGTCACGAATAGTTCGACGTGAAGTACGCCGCGATGAATCGCCGATAGGGAAGACGTTTTCCTAATATCACGACGTACCGATTCCCTCGTGAGAATCCCTGGAATCGTTACTTATCGTCTCTCTGAACTTTGTACCTGCAGAACAAGCAGCTCCCAGACTCTGCCGCTATTCCCCGAGAATTCAGGATACAGATGGCGACAGTGCTGATTCTGGTGACAGTGCAGACAGGAACAACGGCGCGCTGTTACCTGCTGCACCTTGGAGACATGCAAATCGTACTGGCGTTTGAACTTTCCAACGTATTCATAGAATGGCACTCTTGTTCGATCTGGATGTTCTGCTAGAGGCGAAATGGCGAGTTGCGAGCTACATAAAATAACGTGGATCTCATGGGAACATGGAAAAACTGCATGTACTCCACGTGAACGTTGCTCTTGTTCCCTGTAAATATTGCTCGCTTTTGTACAACAAATCTATAGCATTCGTTCGTGCAAATTGAACGCGAATTATAACTTTTTTTTTCTCATTCAACCGACGGTACTGACGAATATTTGTCTTATTTTTTTATTTTTATATGTATTCAATGTAAATGCTTGATTTTTTTCTCGGTATACATTCAAATATAGCAGGTACATCGGATCAATTCTATTTTCATGTTTTAATAGAGCTTTCCTGAATATTCGACCAACAATGTGAATTTCCCTTTAATATTTAGCACCAAAACACTAATCAGTTAAACCGGTTTTTCTATATGTGTATATATATATATCGCTGGGTTTCAACAATATAATCGTCCATTCACGAATATCCAACCACCGACTAGCCGGCAGCGTTCACATTTTGAAATGGTGTCGAACCAAAATGTATTACCGATAAATCCTGACGAGCGAATCCGTGCGCTACGTGACCAAGCTGGGCGCAACGATCCCGACACGTTCGATTTACCAAAGACAACATGCCGCCATCAATTCCAATTGTTTGTGTGACGAATCGAATCTAAGGGTGTACAGTGAACCAGCCATGAATTTTCTCTCTTTCTCTCCCTTCCTTTATTCGCATCGACGTTTTTCAATGAGATGGAAAAATTCGAGAGAACGGAAACGAATAGTCCATACATACTGGCCATACGAATAATACAATATTTTATAACCGTATCCTCGTGTACACGTCACCTACTTCTACTCTAGTACATATTACTATACGTATATACATATATATATATATATATATATGTAGATACTCAGCTCAGCATCTTTACACAGAACAGAAAAAAAAACTCTGCAGCAAACGACAGAACGAATCATAACTTTTTTTTGGTAAACAGGTAAAACTGAACATTGCCCTGGTAGAAAATGTAGATCGTCGCAGAGACATGGTAGATACTCAGCTCAGCATCTTTACAAACCGTATCCTCGTGTACACGTCACCTACTTCTACTCTAGTACATATTACTATACGTATATACATATATATATATATATATATATGTAGATACTCAGCTCAGCATCTTTACACAGAACAGAAAAAAAAACTCTGCAGCAAACGACAGAACGAATCATAACTTTTTTTTGGTAAACAGGTAAAACTGAACATTGCCCTGGTAGAAAATGTAGATCGTCGCAGAGACATGTTAAAATTTTCACATATAGTATCTGCACGTATCGTCCTATAGCTGAAATTGACAATTATCGAAATAACCTAATAAATTTTCTCCAGGACGTCCCCCGTCCAACGGGAAATAAGCTCAATCGAGAGACGGCTAAGGGAGCAAGAAAAACAAATGAATTATAGATAAACATCGGGAACACTTCCGTTCCAACAGGAAGTATACGTAGCCTATACGTAGTTCTTGATGAAAAAATAAAAAGACAAATAAAAAAAGGTATTCTCCGCAAACGAGTACACACGCCAGAAGGAAGGAAATCCATTCGATTTTAGATATGGGTGAGGTTAGGTTAGGCGCTTATGCTCAGACAATGTCTTTTTATCCAACGCGAAGTTTAATAGGGAAGATTACGGGTGAATGACGGTAAACCCAAGATAAATTGAAACGCGAATGAGATAGATGTAAGGACTAATAAGTATAGCGATTGGATAATACCCCAATGGCGCTTCCGTAGGTATCGGGACTAAAGAGAGTCACTTGCCGCTTATCCCACACTTCCAACCGGAATAGCAATCACGACGCGAATCCGCTATTGTAGATTTATTCTCGATTCCCCAGGAACGTTTTCGGTTTCCCGTTAAGGATTCGCCTATAGCGACTTGTAACAAACCACAGACGAAACCACTTTACAACTTTTACTTCTACTCCCTGCAACCTTACTCCGCTCCTCTTCATCCCGGGACACATTCCGTTGACGACAATGGCGTGCCATTTCACATCCCCCAAAATCCAAATCCCCCATAACCTGAGCCATCATCAGCGCCCACGAAACTATAGGAATTTTCGGGAATCCAAAAGACTGGTGTAGTAGCGCTCGAGTGCTATATCTATGAGTATACTTGCTTTTGGTGTATATTGTATATAGATATAGTGTATTGTGGTACAGAGTGGTAAAGTGTCATGGGGTCTGTAATAAATATCAATAACGTAATGTTTCAGGGTCATGTAACTCAGCCCTGGGAATGGAGTCTGGAGATATCCCAGACTCTGCCATCAACGCAACCTCCTCCTACGTGACAAATGTTGGACCGCGAAACGGCCGGTGAGAATATTACTGTTATAAGGAGACACCTTCATGCCGTTAAAGAGATTGCGGCTGCCTTTATTGCACCTTGGAAAGGCTGGATTAAGCCTGTCCTTCAACTCCCTGAGATCTCACGCCCTCTTGGACGTCAAAGCACGTTCGACTTCGTCTGTTACTTAAGACAGCATGAGTTTACAAGTTAAAGTTACCTTAGACTTTGGTCTTCTGCTAACCTCAGATCCTTTTTCCATGCATATCTAAACGATTTTCGGTAACGAAAAGAAGATTCGTAAGCTTTCGTGCTCATAATGCGATAAGTTGTATCGTGAAGCGCCTGAGAGAACGAGGACAGTCTCAGCATCGGTGTCTGGTAATTTCTAAACTCCAGGGATACCGTTATTCGGTCGTACACTCTCATGGTAAGAGTAAGACGAGATAACGAGATATCCCGATTGTTTTTGTCCTTTTCGCTGTCCCGGCCAATGGAGAAAACGGCAGTTTCGAATAAAACTTGCGTACTTTCAATTCTATCTCATCGATCCCCAAGGACGATAATCGGCAGGGAACTAAAAGAATAGTTAAAGAAGGTAACGGTGGGTATGAGAAAAAATTGGCATCTCGTCGCAATGGTGATTCTACCTTAAGACAGGGAAACGACTGTCTGGATTTTTCATCGTTCTTTCAACTACGTATTCTTGCTGGGCAACACGTTTCTCTCAGGTGCGATAATCGTAGACAGTCGGAATTCCCCTTTGGAGGTTATGATGTTTGGACTTTTGCTGTCTAAAATATATCGTAGCGTTATGGAAAGGAATATATGGGACATCCTGAATTTCGGTAATTTCAAACGTGGAATGATATACAGTGACGAATGAATTTTGGGTGGATATATTTTTCATCAACATTTCTTTTAATTTAAATATATCCAACCGGAGCAATCTCATTTATGTCGCTGATGGGCTGCATCGCGGTTGAAACTGTGGTTGAAATAAAAATATTACGTTACAACGAATATGGATATATTCCATTTCCAAAAATATTGCGTACTGACGAAATAACGAAATCGACCGTTTCGTCTGAATTTTTAGTACTTTTTTTACCTATATAGGTAAAAATAGATGTTTCATAGACACGTCAATTTCTTTTTCTTTTTTCTCTTCGATTATTAATGGAATTATTCAAAATGCTGCACTATGACCCATAACTGGCTATGAATTTTCTGCAAACAGACTGCGAAAGGAAACGGCTGGCGGTGCTTGGTGTCCCAAGAGGCAAATAGAAACGGGGGTTCGCGAATGGCTCCAGGTCGACTTATCCAGTCCCCATGTCGTTACTGGCGTTCAAACCCAGGGTAGGTACGACCATGGACGTGGCCAGGAATACGTTGAGGAGTATACCATTGAGTACTGGAGACCCGGCTTCACGGAATGGCGAGAATACAGACGCTGGGATAACAAGAAGGTATACGTTTTCTTATCGGCAAATCAATTGCCGACCAGTTGCCAGCTGACTGGGGAACTTCTAATTTGATTTTAATAGAAAATCCGCCATGGAAATTCAACTAAAATTCCAATTTAGGCATTCAATTTCCTAACTTCTTGATTGTTTAATCGATATATTATTATACAATTATGCATTATACCGAAGACCTCGCAAGAACACACATTGAGATCCGCAATTTTATAATTTATAATCTCATAGTCGCGCTGAATAGAATTTCCAAAAGTTTCACCACTTCCTGATTGACAAATCCGTAATGAAGAAGGACAGCCACCCGTTCCTATTCCTGTAATAAAATTTATACCCGCATTCCATTTCGTTAATCAAGTCAAACTATTTATACGTGATTGACAATAATATCCGTAACAACCACCACGAGGACTTTAAAATTCACAATAAATTGATTTATTATCATATTTTTAGGTCTTAGCTGGAAATAGCGACACTGCCACAGTCGTCTCGCACGAGTTGATTCCACCAGTTTTTGCCAGTCAAATTCGAATCCTCCCGCATTCCGTTCACAGGCGCACAGTGTGCCTTCGTATCGAACTCAAAGGTTGCCAAGACGAGAGTGAGTACCAACCCCTATACTTTTGTTAAATTGAATTCAATACGAAAAAATTAATTTTTTTAATTTCACTCTTTTACGTAACCCCCTTGTATATTCCTTACGTTACATCAGAAACGACTTTCGCAGCACCAACACCCCACGTACATGAAAACGTATGCACGTACTAATATCGGGCAGTACGTACCAGTGATTATCAGTGGGGAATTCCGATATCGCATCTAAACCACCAATGCATCGACAAGAACGTAGAAAGTTGGAAACTCGTAATACATCCATAAATCCTATTAAAACCGCAACCGCGCTACCGATGCATCCATTCTCCCGGAAAGCCCAGTACATTTGTTTTCACCCCACGCCCAGCCAATGGCAATTCTAGTACTTAACGTTACGTTACTAATAGAATTGATTGTTCCCGTTGGTAAAACAGCTTGTAACGGGACCAGCGAACGTACGATCGTTGTCATAATATTTCCAACGTTCCTCCATTCAGATTTTGGAAGCTCTCTGAAATTCAACCAAAACTTCGTACCGTTATACGATCGGATTATCGATCGTCTATAAAATTGAACTCTGTAGGATTCGAGCCTTCGCCCACCCTTGCCCTTCTTCCCATGGTCCGTAACCTGCAACCCTGCAACACCGGTGTTCCTGCAAGCTCTTGAGAACTGCACTTGGCGAAGTGTTCGCAATTCCTCGAAAACTGGCCGATCTTCTCGTCTCGAGTTTCTAACGTGGAATTCGCAGGACTACGTATGTATATATATATATATATATATATATATATGTACGAGATACATACATATATCTGTAGGACGGAAGGAAACAGCACGGTGGGAATTTCTCAAAGTTCAACCAACCAACGCTGCATGGCCAAATCTTCCTGGCGAACTTGAACATGCTTTTCGTAGTACGTGTTTGACCAGTGTTTTGGCAAGCTTTGTCTATAGCTATATATATTTGTGTATAGACAGGTTATAATTGTCTGGACTTTACAAGTAGTCGACTGTGTAATATAATATATATGTAATATCACTATATAAAGATATATATAGTAATAGCCCGTATGTTAAATGAAAGGACACATTTGATATTCGCATAAATGATTTTTCTACTACGACGTTATGCCTCAAGTGTTATCCCTGTAGCGTACACGTGTTACGTGGCGACACGGGAGTTCGTTCAAGCCATAAGAAATATTCGAAGCGTGCGAGATCGGGCTCGCTACCCTAGAATGGCAGATTTATGGAGGTCGCTCACGGCATCTGGTTAAAACATGCTGGCGCTATTCGGCTGAGCGGGTTGAGCGATTACTTCGAAATTGCGACGACGCACAGTCAAAGTATGAAAGTAGACTGGGAATTGGTATAACGTCAATTAATTTCAAAATGGCACACCGGCTGTGTGTACCAGCGCCTAGCGAGGTGCAACTGACCAAGACACTTGGCCGGATTGCCTGCCACGCTTGCTACGTTCGAGCACCCCTACCATTCTTCGTTACCTGAAATATTGGACGTAGTTAGGCAATTCCAAACTCGGGCATACAAGTTGGCACGAAGCCTTGGCTGTTTCAAAAAGATTTATTACTTGTACAGTGGGGTGCTCGATAATTTAACATGTATTGTCGTGACGTGTAATTGACAGGAAATTCTGACAATTTTTATTTCTTGCCAGCACGGATTACGGTGGCTAACGTTCTTAGCTAGATCATTCGGTAGCATACCAATTTTCGTACGAGGCCATGACAATCCTTTTAGGTTCCTGCCTTGGGTTATTTCCAATGTATATTGGATCAATGGCCAACTGTATTATTTGTTTGGTTACGGCAGTGGTATTGGATTAGATAATAATATTGTCTTTTGGACTGTCATCAGGTGGTATACTGAACTACGTAATACCAGAGTCTCCAGTGGCCGAGCTCAGTGACAGTTTCTATGATGGTAAAAGAGAATATGGATTATTGTCGGACGGTTTGGGTCGACTGGTCGATGGGGAAACAGGCCCGGACAATTACAGACTCGATACTGGATACGTTGGAGGTAATTATTTCGTCTTGTAACACACTTCAATGTTCACCTAGCAAAGTACGAGTCCCGATACCAGGACGATACCGACTGTTCGATAACAGTTGAGGTTGCGTGACAAACAAGCTTTGAGCCTTTATTTTTTTTTTCTTTGTAAAGACAAGGCTGACCTGACAAAAATTTATTACAAAATATAACGCTGGTCTGGAGTGATACTTGAAAACCTTTCTTTTCAGACATCGTCAGGAGTGACTTTGGTATAATTATTGATTTATGGGGATCAAGTTTTAGAGATAGGGGGGTTAAATGGACTAAAAAGAAATTGGGCAATTTAAACGTCAAGAAGGATCAGCAGAATTGACGGAGGACCCTAATGTGGGAGGACTTTGTCATAGAACAATTAATTCTTCACTTGCCTATTTTACCTGTCACGAGAAAAAAAAATATCCGATTTCTAAAAAAAAAAATGAAGGAAAAACCAATGCCTGTATAACAGTCTCGAATTTGAATTAGAATAAAATCATACGCAATCTAATGTTATCCAATATTTAGGTATTAAACAAATTTGGAATAAAAATGATTTTTTTTTTTTCAGGCAGCGGATGGGTCGCGTGGATGCGTGATTCGTTTCCTGAGAATTTCATTGAACTGCTATTTGAATTCGATGACGTCAAGATATTTAACGCTGTGCATATATACACGAACAATTATTTCACACGAGACGTACAGGTAATTCAGTTATATTTGATTGCCTTAAGGATTTCGTATTACAATCAGTTTATCTGCCGGAATGTATTTGTAACTTTGTAAATTTTTCGTCAGGTCTTTTCGAAGGCAAAAGTCTGGTTCAGCGTCAGTGGTAAATTTTACAATGGAAAGCCACTCTCCTACTCCTACATACCTGACACCGTGCTAGAGAATGCCAGGAACGTCACAATTGGCTTACACGAGCATCGAGGAAAATTCCTGAAACTTCGTCTCCACTTCGCAGCTCGATGGATCATGATTAGCGAGGTGACTTACGATATCGGTAAGATTTATTTATTATCGACGAATGATTATTAATTGATCTCAACAACCTTCCTATCACTTTCAGCAAACCCTTACGATAACGCTACCGAGAACGGAGTCTCCGTGATCAGCACCGGCGATATTCCTGTCAACCCTGAGCTGGATCTCACGCTGCAAACAAGTAAGCGTTTTACTAATTTCAGACTAATTCGGAATTAACGCTCGAGCGGAACGAGCTAATGTTTCAGGGAATAACGTAGTAAAGAGAAACTCCAGAAGTAGTCCAGTAATAGTAGCAGTACTGGTACTGGTAAAAGCTTTTCTTAGTAAAAGGTATAACTATAGCAGCCGGTCACGTACCGGCGGGAGCATCCAAGGAAAAATTCTTTACGTTCAGACACATAATAAAATCGTCTGCGATTTCGAGAATAAAAGTTGAAAATAAAAGCTCGTATTTTCCGTCTCAGTAATACAATAGAATATGACAAGAGCTGCTACTGATTCATTTTAATCCGAGCAACCTGTCGTATCTATCGTCGGAAGTATTGCGTCGCCATCGTAACCAACGTCGAGCTACCCCGTCTGCTGCTAGGGGACGCGTAGGTTTAGTAACTGTGTAACTTCATTAGTAAAATGAGGCCGCCATTCTTTACCGTGAAGATACGATTAGGAGAAGCTGAGCTCCGAGGGATGCTTTATAATTCACGTAGGAAGTTCCGCGTAACGTAAACAATTAGTCGGATTAAGCGACAGCCACTACGGGCAACAAGAACGGTCGAGCCAACTCTAGGGAAAATTACGTGTCTCTGATAGACCAACACCGACCAATCCTATCTTCCATTCACTAACGTTCTGTGACCCCATCTTCTCGACCAGCATGCGCTTGAACGTCGTGCTAGATTCTACATCAGATATAAATAAAAGACTGTACTATGTACAGTACTAAGGAGATAAAAAAATAAATCTTCAGAGTATGCAAGAGATAGGCGTCTACCTAAATTCTAGGATGCTGCCCGGGTGAAAACTATCCTACCTACCCTCTGGTACCGTTACGGTTGATGCTACAGAGGTAGGTGGTAGTGGTGCTGCACTATGTACAGCCTGATTACCGGTATTTGCATAATGCCCCCGTCGGAGAACGCGAACGGAAAACGCTTAAATTTTTTACGCTTCGTTTTATCACGAAGAATTCGCGACCTCGAAAGTCGGTTCTAACAATGAGACTTTTTTAATGAGAGTATCAGGAAAAACATGCTGAATAGAGGATGGAACTGTATTGGGTCTGTTGAGACGTTTGAGGAAATTGAAATGAGTAATTTCTAAGAAAATATCGTAAACGAGGGAAAGTATCAATTTTCGTTTCTTAACTATTAACTTTACAGAACTGACGAGTATTCTTGGACCAAATTTATCGTTCAAAATCTAACATCCAGTACTGGCTTAGTTAATGTCCCTTCCCTTTGATTTTAATTGCTTGGGAATACCAGTCTGCCCTGAGCTAAACTCGTTTTCTGGATTCGTAAAGCCAAAGTCCTCTTAATTTAGAATAATGAGGATGTAGCATCAATCCTTAGTCCTTCACTGTGTCACGAGTACTTTATGAATTTTAGTTACTGCAAGGGACGAAAATCAAGAGTACGTTGAAGTACTTATAGGAGTACTTACCGCAATCACTTTACTCCTATTGCTAGTCCTGGTTATCATTCTGCTGCTCAGTCGTCGTCAGAAGCTTCAGAGTTCACCGACTGTACTGAAAAACCCATTTGGATTCGCTGTTAACATGAAGGTAATAGTATTTTCGTATCAGAAATTCATTTTTCGAAAATTCATTAACATGATACTGCTTTGTTAGAGATTTAAATATTTGTTTCCTAAAATATCATAGTATACTCTTTTATAGGGTCTGCTGCTAAATTTGACGCCTGGCAGTATGCTTCACGACAATACACGTGTCTCGCCGGAAGTAGCTGATGACACCAGTCTTCACGAATCCTTGACGATGGAACAATTTGATTCGCCTTTGGTTTCTGGACAGAATAAACAGTCGTACGCGCCTATACCGAGTAGTGGTGAGAAAATATAATATTTAAAAAATGTTTTAGTATATTCAGACTTATAGAGGACTCATTATTTATAGACTCTGCGAAGGAAGTAGACCTGAGCAACATTTCAGAAGATAATTCCAACATCGATATGAAGACAGAATATATGACAAATCAGATACCAACAAGTACGACAATGCCCACGCCGAGTTATACGTCGTCCCCATCAAACTCTCCTGCTAGACAATCTCAACACTATAGGACACTTCAGTTGTATACTGCTGCAACATCTAGACTGAATGTAACTACAGCATCAAATTTGCACAGGGAAGGCGAGCAAGTCTATGCGAAACGCTGGCATACGGCACCTAAAGAGAAGCACAAAGTTAAACAAATTAATTATTATTCTTTATGTTGATCTTCATTTCAATTTATGATTCATCTTATTTACCGAACGGTCTAATTTTGTGACTTTGGTATTACTGAATATTCCATAAGATTTCAGTTAGATAGTACCTGGATACCTATTATTAATTCCAGGTACCAGCACCAGTAGTCAGCTGGAACATAGCACCTAGCATGAACAAGCCATACAAATGCAAGGAGATCGAACCTATAGATATTCCACGTATCTATTTGCGAACGGCAGAGAAGCTTGGATCGAGTCAAATCGGAGAGGTAAAAAGAAAAAAATACAATTGAATAGAGACTGGTAAAATAATGAAATTCCTTAGATAAAAGCCACTCAATATTCCATAGGTAATAGTCTGCGAGGCAGTAGGACTGGAAGAGGTGGTAACAGGTGCCGGTAAACTTGTGGTAGCCCGTGTTCCAGCAGTCCCAATAGAATCCAGAAATTCTAACAATACGGCGGACGTGATGAGAGAATTGCGCTTCCTCTCTTGTCTATCGGATCCAAACGTAGCAAGGATTCTGGGAGTCTGCACTGCAGAACCGGCACCCTGGACAATCCTCGAGTACACAGAACTAGGCGATCTCGCTCACTACTTACAGTACAGTGTACCATTAACTGGAACTCTCAGGCCAAGTTATAATCTAAAAGCTCTCAGGTAATTGACAAATTGAATTTAAGCCACAGCACGTTTCATAGTTCTCGAGAGAATATTCACTCATCTCACAAATCTCCTCTCTACAGTCAGAGCTGTCTTCTATACATGGGAACTCAGATAGCATCGGGCATGCGATTTTTGGAGTCAAAGAATCTTGTTCACAAGGATCTGGCAGCCAGAAACTGTCTTGTGGGTCGTTGCTACACTGTTAAGATAACTGATATAGCAATGTGTAGCGACCTGTATAAAAAGGACTACAGCGACATCGGTGGGAGACCTCCTGCACCTATAAGATGGCTACCCTGGGAGAGTATTCTACTGGTAAAAGATCTTTTTATTCCTCATTTCGCAATTGACCATTTATATTATCCACCATGTTTAATTCACCTGATAAAAATTCTCTTTCAGGATAGGTACACGTGCTCGAGTACCGTATGGTCGTTCGCTGTGACATTATGGGAAGTCATGAGTCTCGCGCGAGAAAAACCTTTCCAACATCTCTCGAACGAGCAAGTCATTCAAAATGCCGAGCTTATGTATTACGGAGGAGAGCTACAAGTACGAAGAAAATTTCTTTATCTCTACCAATCGAATTTAAGTCTCCCTTGCTTCCTTGTCACTTCATTTCTTATACCCGTATACATATACATGTATATCCATCCTCCTTTTCCTCCCTGCAGACCTCACGCTTACTTACACTTTCTTGTCCTCGTCCACTTCTTCCAGAAGTTCTATGCTATACATATACGTTTGTCTCTGTCAATAGACTGTATTCCCAAGTCTTACTACTCGCATTCTGCCTGAAAAAAAATATACTCCCCAAGTGTCTAGCCATTTGTCACCTGTCCAGGATATGCTTGCCGGGAGGACGAACTCGCGGATAGTAAGCGAGGGCCACGCCCGACGCGTAAATTACGAAAGACTTTGGGCCCTCGTGCAATATTCAAAGTCTCCTGCTCTGAGTCAGGACGAAGGAGTAATCAATACTCCTACATACTGAATTCAATCGATATCCACCTTTAGAATACCGTATAGAAGTTTTTTAATGAATTCAGGAACGAGATTTCCTAAGGCGAACGTACATTTTCCACTTTGACAGGCGCACTTTAAATTTTAAATATTGAACAACCGTTTGTTTGTTATATTATATAGTATATTTAATAATCATCTTATTTCAGACATTTTTGCCAAAACCGACAATGTGCCCGGACGACGTATACCGAGTGATATGTTCCTGCTGGAAGAGAGACGAGACTGCGCGGCCAACTTTCAAGGATATTTATACGTTTCTTAAGAATGTTAATGGAGACTATCGACCAGGTGCATAATCGTAGTTGACTGTGATAACGAATAGTCAGTTGCTCTTTACACTGACGACGTTCTCAGGTTCGTCCACGTCAAGCAAATGACTGTAAAGATTTGGCTACGTAAAGCCAGGAATACGTGACTTGGTACTCCAAAAAGAAGAGACACGCGGATAGAGAGTAAAAGACAGAGAGATAGAGAAAATGACATAAGAAAAAGAGATATAGAAACTCTCGAGTTCCTACTGCCAAAGCTAATTGCATTTAATCGTGCAATGTTTACGCTCGGGCGTATTCAGTATTTCGAAAGGGAAAAAAAACGCTTGTTTGAAATTCCACGTGGTATCTATTGCCACAGTAAATTGAAAAATACAAGCGGATCGTACAATTGGAACATATCATCGTCTCTTCTTCGACTACCTGCGAAAGCTTTCAGTGTAAATATTAACTAACGTATTAAGTTCAGCTCTTAAGGATATACAAGGACTATTCTAAGCGCAACGTTTCCAGTATCGCTACGCCATCGAAATCTAGTCAGTCTGATTCCTTTATTTCTACAAAACTGTTATTCTGTACAGAATCCCTTTTAATTTAATTACGTCAAGTGTATACAAGGATAAGTGCTAAAAAAAGATATAAAAGTCTACTGACCTGTAAATACTATATAGATAAACACGCGCCAATGAACGAAATTAAAACGACACGCGCAAACAGCGTTATAAATTGTGCAATAAGAGAGGACAGAATTGTTTTTCGCTTTCATGGAATACGTGAGTACGTGCAGGACAAACGACAATGCTTGCTAGTAACTAATAGCCAAGTATTTTGCGCGCGTCGTTTTTAATTTTCAATTTGATTTGTAGGCTGGATATTTTTATGGTACCCCATACGGTATTCAGGATCGATCAAAGCAATGTATATGTAGGTACTTCAGTACAGAACTTTTGCACGACTCTAATTACGACACTTAATCTCTTAATTATATATAAATATATATATATATGTATTGCTAATTGTCCCATGTCAAAGAAAGAATCGTCGATCCTTGCATAAAAAATATCCAGCATTCTTATCTTGTACATTCGAAGCCCGATATAGTAAGTAATTAAATAACATAAAAGTTTATCGATACGTCATTCAGTTTATAAACGACAGAAAGAAAAGTTTGTTGAACGTGTTAGATCTGTCATCTGGATGGATCTCTGCTCGTCGTGAGCGATATCTATTTTCTCTTTCTTTTTTTTATTTCAATGGTTATTTGCCATCTGAAAGCGTCTAAACTTCGCCCTTACTATCTTCTAGCTTCAGCTAAACAGTAATAAAACAAAATTTAGATCCCACGTAAATTGTGCTTGTAATTTCTTATGGGTTAATAATTAGTTAACGAATCGAATCAAAACATGTTTCGTATCTCGAAGATGAATTTTAATCCCTGGCATAATTATCAGAAATATTACTAAAATATTTTATTAGATAAAGCTAACAGACTCGTGCTCGACTGCTTACAAAACTTATATAATTTCCTATCAAAGATTCATCATATAATATCTGCACGATTGATCGTCGTAATTATTACTAATCGATACACCCAAATCAACCTCTCTTCGAGCCTTTGATATATTACGTCGTTCCAAAGCGATATTTACGGCAGCTAACAGATACCATAAGGTAACCAAACGAGTTATATTAACGCGCGAATCGTACGACTGCGCCACTTTGACCTCTGACACTATGCCGGTCCTCATGGGATTTGCTAAAAGTGCTTCTCGATGCTGGTAATCATCTTGAAGATGGTACTTTCTCCGAAGTCGTCGGTTCTCGGTGAATTTCCAGATGTTACCGCAGACTGCTAATGATATAGCTGCTGAAGAAATTATTGGCAGCGAGTTCGTTTCAATTTTTATTTGATCCATTTTATCCGTTTTATCCGTTACTTCGATGTAGGCCATGCCCCCTCTACGTTTAATGCAAAAATAAAGAGGGTCGATTTATAGAACGACAGAAATTATATTAATTAGAGGCAAATTATTAATTAATTACGAGTAAAGGTACAAAGTGAGGTTGAAATTTTTTTTTTCATATATTTTGCATTCGCCTCTACGATTATTAAACTAGGACACACTGTAATGACGCTCCACTTGAAACTTCCGATTTAAAAGTGCCATTACGCCCGTTACGCTATAACGTGTTACGAAAGTGTTACGAGTTCAGAGTCGTGATCGGAAATCACCGATTCGAGTGTCCGATATGAAAACTCGCAGATCGAAGATATCCTATTACTGCGTCGAGTCTGTAATATATTGACGCCATGTCGAGACTGTGCTTTTCGCGTAACACTGGTTACTTTACTGGAGTTTCTCACGATACTCAAAGCCCTCACTTACGTGGAATAATTGAATAGTAGTTAGACTCTCCTCTGCATCGAGATAATGCATTAGCAAATAGAAAGAACAAAAAATCGTATACATAATATCTATCAAAGCAATTCCTACGTACTGTTGAGAAAATGTTTGCGTATAAAGTGTTCTCTTATCTGCGCGCAGCGAACGAAAATATTGTTTTTACTAAATTAATGCATTCGTTAACGGTACAGCTCTAATCGAACAGCACACATGTTCGAAGGTTGTCTGGAAACTTATTTTGCAATGCAATAAGGATAAACAATTATTAATAAAACATCTGGTTAAATATCTATAATAAACGAGCATACTGAATACGGAAATGAAAATTTGCAAATCTAACATTTCAATTGCGTACTTGTACTGTCATATTGTCTGTAGCATAGCCGTAAAGAATTCACCTTCGACTACAATATCAGTACGTGACGTGTCGATTCTATGAACACCAGTGGGCTTTCCCTGCGTCGATAAACGTTTTACACGAGGTCGATAAACAATCCATTCACGGAAGCGACTCACGAAGGTTGCCATCTTCTCGATGGTACATTGCGCCTGTTACACGTTACTGGCGTCCCGTCGTTCTGATAAAAGAATTTCATAGAAGCCAAGTAAGTATCGGTATAGCCTTTGTATTGCCGATCGATGTAGAAGAGAAATAGATTTTACAGACTTCATTCCGTTCTACCATATACCTATACTATACGACAGTTGCACCCACAGTGCAATCCACTGCAGAATGCACAAGACGTTATGAAAAGTACAAACAGTACAAGAGTATACGAAATCTCCAAAGTTTGGCATCCTGGTCCATCAGCAGGAGTACTATAAAATTTGAAAAAGAGGTTAAAATCATAAGTGATCTCTATATGACGTAATCGATTCGATACCTCGCTGTATAAATTCGATAAAAATTTATCGTTAAAACGAATACCCAAAGTACACGAATACAAATTTCATAATGGATTCTGACAACTACGTCACTCATCCCATAGATGGACCGACTAAATAAGTGTCTAGATCAAATTTGAGGATATATCCCAGCGGAAAGAGCAATTTCAAGGTATTATCGCCACGGAACGGGATTCACGGTACCTCGTATCTTCCCACGGGATAGTGAATCACGAGATGTATGAACCGATCGGCATACCGATTTCTCGTGGGGTATCGAGGTGGGGAATTACGGAATTCTTAACCTGATGGGGGCGTTGCTCCTTTTTTCCCCCCACTGGAAACAGGGCGATAGCCAGCAATCGGGCAGCGGGTATATTACGAATATATTTCAGATTGACAAGAACCAGAACGAAGTAGTTGAAATAATGAAATGCAGAGACAAGGAGGCGATTGGCTTTGTGGCAGGGATGGTAAACCTGGTATAAGACTGGTACCACTGGTATCGGCTGCGATGACACTATACACCGTTTTGTCTACATACATCCACTGATTTATACATATGTACATAAGAATATGCTGGATGCGTACGTTTATATAATGGTAGCGTACGGGAAAGTGAGAGCATTGAATCGTCGACTGTCAAGAGCCGCGCTAGCAAAAATGCGGGTTGGGTTATTATCAGCTGACTTCGGTCTCCGCCACCTCCTACTCCTCCTTGGCATCGTTCTTCTTCATCTTCCAGGTAAGCGTTTCTCCTGCGAGGTTTACCTCCGGGACAATTACATTGTATTCTATTTATATAATGAAACCAGTGAAGACTCGGACGAGAATTTTGAAGTATCGTTCACAGTCTGTGAATTTGACCATTTTTTCTTAATAGGTTAACTTTTTCAAAAAAAAAATTTTTTTAATGGTGTCAATAACATTAATTTTTATCAAATATATATATCGCTATGTGTCTTCGTATTTGTTATATTTTTTTTTTTTCGTTGGTTTATTAAACCAGCAATTTGTCTTTTATTCGGTACTTGTTCGGCAGTCCCTAACGAGTATAAAGTCATTATTAGGAATAAATCCTTTGATCTCGGTGATATAAAAACGAATAACCTCTATTTCATTATGCACCCCTTGTTGCGTTTCACTGCACATGCAAATTGAAACTCTTGAACGAGACGCACACGTTGATTTTATCGTACTTGGACTTTATTTTGCCCATTTTTTAATTCAAGTTTACTCTTTGTACTTTTTGCAATTTTTCGTTACAGCCATACTATGCTTCATTCGTGACTTTCAGTCGATTATATTTATAGATAACCTCATGGCAGAACCATGTCCAGCTGCGAATTGCTTATCAGCTGAGAAGTGTGAATCAACCTGGGTCGGTGCAGTTTGCCAAGATAGTAATCTACAATGCTGCAGTATAGGTATGCAAAATAAAAATAATATCACACTGCCACACTATTTTTTTCAAAATCTCCAAATTCCTACAACGCTGAGCCTTACAGTCGCGGTGACCCCCGATCACGTAATTTGCTTAGATTTTGCTAAAGGACGTGAACGACGGTCATTTTTGATAAACTTTACAAAATTACAATTGATTTTACTAAGATCATTACCAGTGTTAAAAAAATCAATACCACTAATCGATAAAACTTTTAATTACAATAACTTATTAATATTCCAATAGACGTCAAAAGTAAACATTCGTAAAACTTTCACAAATTGGTAAATCGTTTCATGCGAAAAATATTCATTGCGTTTACGTAAACCATTACGTTTCAGTAAAAGAAGAATACAGAACCCAGTGCCGTCATCACGGGGGTGAATGCATGAACAGATGCAGCCCAGTTGTACAAAGACCAGCAGTCGACTGTCCAGGTCAACTCTGTTGCGTTCTTGTATAATTGATATTGAAGATCCCAACGACTAAAACTAACAATAAGAAGACATGGAAAAGGAAGCACAAGAGACTTAAGCATAAATCAAAATGATAAAAATCATCGTAATGGTACAAAGCTACGAGTCTGATATTCGCTATAGGATCGCAATATCGTTGATTGTACAAGAAAACAAGAAGAAGAAAAAAAAAGTAAGAAAATACAGATCGAGGTTCGCTACGAGAAAATCATGAAGGCGGAAGAAGGCAAACGTCTCTCTTTGCGAAGCGGACATAGCGAATTTCATATCTTTAATCTGTACATTGCGCAATGTCCACGTATCGTAGACACCCATACGTTACTTTCTACGTTCGTTTGTAATTGCAACGATACAATGATAACAATTCTGAGCCTAATAGCTTTAAATAAAAAAGTTACAATATATATATATATAATTACACGTACATTACGTTCCTTTGATTTTACACGAGAGAACAGATGAACACAGGATCGCGGTTGCGTCGAGATCGTGAAGTTCGTACGCGCCAAGACTATTTCACGGTTGATCGCGTGCCACGTCGATGTGCAGGTAGATTGATGCACGTTCAAGGTACTTTAATCGCTCTTGGACTTACATCCCCGCTCGCAAATCATAGCATCCATAGGGTTCGTGAGAAACCTCTATACACCTTGAGGTTGAAACATTGAATCCCTGGGCATAAGTCTCTCTTATTGGATCCTAAGTAATATCTAAGTGATTCGATGTAAATTATCCTCATTACGATCGTCAGAGCACATAGTCTGCGTCGCGTATACGCGTACAGACGTGCACGGTAGAATAAACGATAAAGCGAAGATGCGCCACGGCAAGCAGGGTACCAAGTACCCAAGGAGTCAATGCCGTCGAAGGATTCGGCTGTACCGTAAATGAAAGCCGCCTTATCTGTAAGAAATTGCCCGAAGCGAGTGAGCTGGTTGACAAGAGGTTGGTGGAGTAACGAGGAGAAGAGGGGTAGACGGAAGGCAAAAGCGGTGCCTTAAGGGGGAGCTCAAGAGGTGGAGGAGGACGAGGGACGTATATATATATATATATATATATATATGTATATATATAAAGGTGGTGAGGCCACGATATTGAAGGAGGTTTAGGATGAGATGGTGTATAGTAACGGCAATGGCGAAGGTAGCCGTAGAGAGGGTGGTGGTGGTGGTGGTGGCGGTGATGCCTGTGGCGGGCTGTGCCAGCGGTGGTAACACTGGCACGAGGTGGAAGGATCGTGGAAAAGGTAAGAAGGAGGACTGGTGGGAGGGAGATTTGCCGAGGGCACTGCAGGCAGACGCAAGGTAGAGCCATTTCGGTTCCCCGAGGCGCAGCGGGAATCATGGTTCGCTTGAAGGATGCCGCGCGCGCAGAGGACGAGGGAGGCTGAGGGTCGAGGAGAAGCCCCGGGGACCGGACAAGCTCGGTCGCTGCGGGTACGGAAACGGCTGAAGATAGTGGATAGCGCGCACCGCTGCCGGCGGCAGGACGCCCAGCCATGGGGAGTCAGGTTTGCCGTTGGGAAGACGGGTAGGGACGTTCGTAGGGAACGGTGTGGTCCTAGGGATGAGCAGGGCCTACGGCTATAGAGAGGTGAGAGGGAGCGAGGGGATTGGAAGGAGACGGAGAGAGACGGAGAAGGACCCGAAGGCATGAGCGAGACAATGCGCCCTAGCGCTGCCTGCGGCAAGGCGGCACCAGGCTGGCGGACCAAGGCCCTCTCGCGTAGCCAGTAACGATGCCCTCGGGCGTTCCGTGGCAACGGCTCCAAGGAAGCGATAAGCACAAAATGAAATATTAACGAAGAACGCACGACTATTTTTACGTCTCTCGTCTCCTTCCGCGGCGACTCACACGCGACTAACTTCTCGAGGTTGAGTGCCGCTAAGTGCTTGGACTCGGAGCCAGGAGTGTCTGCATAGCACAGGTAGCCGTGGCGACTTGATCACGAATTAAATATGTGGAGATGATCTTGATACGGGTGTTAAAGACCAGAATTGATCTCATGAATCTATATACGAGGTGACGTTTCTCCTTACTGGAATATCGCCACGTTCTAGTACAGCTAGCCGAAGTCACCTGATATCGCAGGCACTACTGTAGCCTTTAGGTCTGTTACGAGAATACCCATAGTCAGGTATATTATCTTATTGATGATTTGCAGTTAAAAATTAAGAAAATCAAAGGACGCTCCGAGGTACCATTTTATGTCATGCCATATAGAATATTGTTTGTGAATAAAAGATACTGTGCTTATCGTATACGAATTTATCTACCACCGTACTACAGACTTTTAACTGGTAACGCCAGTGACGGAAAGGTGCACAACCCGATACCGCGAAGGTGTCAATCAAAAGGCGGCTATGTTTTTACGAGTAGTGCCGCAACGTGTAATAAGGGGCCGTTCGTCACGACAGGTTCCGGTGCGAGATCTCGAATGTAAAGACAGGCTACCGACGCCACGCATTAAATCTCCGATTCGATGACGTAGCGATTGCAGATGGCACAGTTAACCAACACACGGCCGACGTGGTAACGAATTGAGACGTTCCTCCTCCTTCAGAAATCGAACGATAACTCCTCCTCGACGAGTAATATCGCCGTAGCAAGAGGTAGGCAGCTACCGAAGGGAATCGAAGCTGAGGAAGGAAAAAAAAAGATGAATGTGTATGAATTCTAATGAATTATTTAAAATACATAATTTTACGTTTTATTAAAAATAATAAGGGATACTTCATACCGAATAACCATTTCGGAATTGTGTATTGCGCAACGCATTAAAATAACCCATTGCACCTTTACCGAGAGCATGTCAGGAAGGCGCAGTTGCATTGCGATGAATGCGAGGTACCCCAGGCAATTCCCTAATTGCAGTGAGAGGCGGGCGCTGAGGGCAAGCGAAGAAGGAATGGGATGCTGTGGTACAGCGAGGCAAACCTCGGCTCCATTCTCTCTTCGTTCTTCTTCAGTGCTCCGGTAATGCTCCGCAATGCTCTACACGGTCTCGAACGCCCCCGCAGCAACGGGCCACGGCCTATCCATCTCATCCTCATCCTCGTACTTGTTCTCCTCTCTTCCTCCGTCAGCCGCGGTTCTCTTACTTGCTTCTCCCTCTGTCGTACGAGCCCTCACGATCCTCACGAGTCGCCGCGGGACAACTGCCTATAAGGAGACTTTACAGTGTACCGCGAAAAAATATTGGATCTACTAGCAAGGGTTCCTTCGTCTCCTTCGGATGAGAGATCCTGGGCCCTCTGTCCTTTGTCTGCGTGGCTCGAGCATCTGAGAAGGAAGTTTAACAAAATCGATCAGACCATCAGGAATGAAACTTTTAGGAAAGAGCAGAGTATCTTCTTCTGGATATTAGTGGCTAAGTCTTACCATGCACTTTTGACCTTAGACGACCTGGCTTTATCAATAGTGACTTAGGCGTCCCTTGGCTCCTTGATGAGATCATTATTCGGGTACGTAGAATCGCTTCTTTACCATATCCTGATATGGCTTCATTGAGATAGATCGATACCCTGTAAAAAAAAAAGATAGTGTGATCTGATCTAGTACCAGATCCCTCGAAGAACTTCCTTATGAGACTTGTACTCGCCGTGAAATGCATTACGGACGCTGGACCGATAATAATGTCTGCCAGATCTGATTGTACGATTCTTCCTCGGATACCAGGATGCTTAGCTGTATATACCTATTATTCCTAAAACCTTGAAAGATCTTGAGAGCGTTATTGGTGGGCAGCGATGCCGCATAAGATGGGAGTTGAGGCCCGAAGCGCGTCCCACGGCCATCTATGGGAGCCGCCTGCCTTTCTCAAGGCGTGTTCTTATGTAAGTGCTACGAAGCCCCGAGGCTGTCCGGTCTTCTCACAATGATTCACAGCCTCCGGTAATTTACATTCGCTTGCGTGGGTGATCAGCCGACTCCTCCGGCTCTTGCCCTGCCATCGAAAAGGTTAAACATACACCCACCATGGGTCACGCGACGAAGAGTGGATCGCTAAGAGATCTCGTTGCGTGTATGCAGAATGTACACAAGTATCGTGTATCGAGAACGAAGCATTGGTCATCGAGTTTATCGGATTTTTTTTCATAGGGAACAGACGACGCTAGTCTCTCCATACAATAACAATGCCATTACGATAAAGAAAACTTCACTCGCGACAATCGGTGCTTTCAGCGTGAGGTTAATGGAGGATGATATCCCGGATAGGACAAATCCCCAGGTAGCGTGAGTTTCAAAAGGTCAAAGATTTTTTACGCCACTGCTCAGTGCCTGGCTAAATGTCAGCTATCACTATTTTCCGTTTTTATCGAATTCATTAAACGATTGCCGAATAGCGAAACCTTTTCTTGGACTTAATCGAAATAATCGTCCCTCTTGGCAATCCTAATGGTTCTCTCTCAGCTCTGTTACCCTCTAGGAGAAACTTATGGGCTCTGCCACCAACCCGTACCGATTTCTAGGGATAAGCTAAGGATTCAATTTTAATAGCTTCTCCCCTATCCCCACCCTGTACCTTGGCAAACTCTTAATTAATCGTGGGAACGTAATTGGTAACACGTAACTTATACTCATGGACGTCAAAGAACAAAAGCTGTGTCCATGAACCGGACATTAATTATCACCTAGACATCCATTGCTGAGAATAGGTGGGTGCATTATAAGCAGATGACCCACCTCCTATAAATTCACATAGATAACATTATTAAACGACCGATCATAAATTTCTAACAAAAATCGACTTTTTTTTTTTTTCTTTTTAGTAAATACCAATAATTCTCATTCATAACCAAACTACCCGTTCTCAGTATCTCTTCCATCAATTTATCAACTGTCCTGAAACTTTCATCAGGAAGACACACACGAGTTATTAAACTTCCATTCGTCTCACCAAAACCCAGGAAGAGATTCCACCCCTTTCCGAAGTTTCGCCCATAAATCAACTGCCTATTACGATAAAATAAAGAATCCCCCTTTCCCCCCGCCTGAATTACAAGACCCATAAATCCCATAAGGAATCGATGAAAGAAAAGCGCAGTCATACAAGCCGTTCATATAATATATAGAATCCACTCGAAACGAAGCGTCCGCGTATGAAGAGCGATTACGCGATCGATGTACATAAGAGAGAAGATGGCATGCATGTACATACAATACGACCAATGTATATGATTCGTATGAAGCTTTGTCCGAAGGAGGAAGAAAGGTGGGGGGGAGCGGGCGGAGGGAGGGGAAGAAACTGAGAAAGAGGTGGGTAACTGCGGCCTTCGCCTTGGGCACAACACGACCCGTTTCAAAGACACGTAGGGCCAAATCAGTGGTAGGGAGGGTGCAGGGAGGGCGCGCCCTAAAATATGTGGACCCACAGGCAACTCTCGGACTCCTCGTTACATCCTGCCAGACGCCTCAGGCAAACAGTCCAGGCCGCCTGTCTGTATATCGTATGATACAAAAACATCACATTATTTTCTCTCTGCAGACGGAGCGAGCACTCGCGACCCGCGGGCATGTGACCACCATTATATTCTGCCCACCATCCTCACGAAGATCCTACGCCGGATTACGTATCGGTTAAACAATTCAAATTGCCTGCAACCAGTTGGATTCGTATGGCAAACCGAGCCGCATT